CCCCAAACAAAAACATCTTTACATCCCTTCTCACCCCAACCTCTCTACACAAGCCCCCACAGCAACATCCGCCGTCGCGCCATCAAAAAAATCATTAATAAAAACCACCAAGCCTTCCCTTTCCCTGACCAGCTTCCTGCCCACATCCCCCTTCAACAGCGGCAGAATCTTGGCATCGCACACGGGCTTCGTAGCGAGAATGGGACTCGTACTGACATCGCTATCCAGGACGGTAGCCACGATTACATCTGTGATATTCGTAGCGGTGGCCTGGCACTGAAAGAGAGTAACGGGGGCATTGGGATCAGCGGGCGGGCCATCGCACATGGAATGTAAGCGGTCGAGCATGGACTCGCCCGTTAGGGTTGCGTTTGCTTGGTCGTCGTAGTTTGAGTATTGGGGCAGGTCGGTGAGGATGATGAGGCGTTTGCCTTGGTCACGGAGCTCGCGGATGGAGCGGTGCTGCATGTCGTCTTGCGAGCCTACTTGGAGGTTTTTGTCGGACAGGAGGGGGGAAAGGATGTCTGTGAGGTCGGAGGGGCTGGGTCGCGGGCAGGCGTCGGGTACGCCGTCCCATCTATTGTGAACAACGATTATTTCATCTGGGTGGGAGGCTAGGAAGCGGGTGATGTGGTCGAGAAGGACGCGGTACGGCATTCCCGGTATGGCACCGTGCTGGAAGTACAGCGTGTCGTCTAGGGAGCTGAGGGAGTGGAGTTGGCGGTGGCATTTTGCTGGGCGGAATTCAAAGTATCGAGCTCCGATTTTGAGGATGGCGTCAAGGGTGTCCTTTTGGGTTATGGCGAGCGCGCGGATGATGTCCGGAGCGATGCGGTTGATGGCTCCATCACTGACTTTGTTGAGGATGGATAGAACGCGGGGGAGAGAGCGGCCGAGGACTTCGCGGATGAGGCCTGTGCCGGCGTTTCTGATCAGAGATAGGCTGGACGACATGTTGTTCATGCCGATGTCGTGGGCGGAAGGTAGGACCATTTTGTGGAAAGGGCGGTTGGCGAGATCAGAGCCCCGGGGGATTTTGTCGCGCATCCAGTTCTCGTAGTTGGGCGTTACGGTTATGTAGCATTGGTGTTGTTTTGGTAGTTCTGCGAGTCCGGGTCCGGCATCGTAGAAGCCGTAGGTTATCACGACATCTTCTGGGAAGAGAGCGGGTGTCTGCTCCATGTTGACCATTGTGCCGTCTTCGACTTTGCCTGTCATACTGTTTACTGCGACCCATTGCTTTGTCAGTTCCCGACCGTCGCGGCGAACGATGAATTCAAAGTTTCCAGTGAATTTAAAACGAGGGAGGTTGGATGACTCGATTTCCAAGTGGTCGAAGAGAAACTCGCGTTGGGCACTTCGCCTGACGCTTTGTTTTGGAACAGTGAATTCAATCTCGACTCCATCGACTGCAATGTATGCAAAGCATTTGACTCCTTTAGATGGCATCTTGTGGTATCATATATCCAAGGTCCTACCGTTGGTTGGAACTATGCTGTTGGCAACGCTCGTCCTGCGTAACGACTTGGGTACATCTACAACCAGATCTTTCAGTGGGGTAAGGAATCGGCAACATCAAGCCTCAGTTGGCGCGGCGCCATCGCGGTATTAAAAAGAAAAATGGCAGTCCAACCCATGCTTTCTCAGCCGTCTCAGCCGTCTAGATTCCGTGGATTATTGGCTGTGGCTTAGCAGTGGTGTTGAGGTGGGGAACTCCGTTCAGCCACGCCAATGGCCTATCACTATGCCGTCCACATACGCTAGTCGGGCCGGCGAAGTTTCAGGCCTTTTCATCGTCTATCATGGATGGTAACTAGTTCAAGCCATGTTCCTGGTTTCGTTTGAGTGTTGTTTCCGGAAGCAACAAAGTTTTAGATACTTCACTCGGGCTCTACTAGTCTTCGAGTCAATGACTTTCGCCACTGGTCCAGCCAGACAAACAACGACCATCAACATATCATCAAGACAATGCATGTCTCTCCAAAACACCAACCTCTCATCATTCCTGTCCATGGTTCATTCTTGTTCTCCGGCTACCCAAAAGCCGGAGAAAGAGCATACCCCACAACCAGCTCTTCTCCTTGCTTGAAACAGCTCCATAGGTTCCCCACGCCCTCATCCAGCCCAGGACTAAACACACTTCCCACGTAACAAAATACGCTCTCATGCTCCTTCACACCCAGTCTCTTGCGCAGAAAACGGACTATGGTTGCAAAATTCTGATTGGTGCTGAGTTTGAAGATACGCTGAGTGAGATGCGGGGCTGAGCCTATGGGTTGGAGGCGTATAGTTACTGCAGATGAACGATTTAGCCCAAGGCACATCAAGTGTTTGAAAAAGTAATGTTATGTAGTAGAGTAAATTCGGAAAGCAGCACATGACAACCATGTAGAAGACTGTAATGAGCTAGGCTGTACCTTTCTGAACATTGAGATTTCCGGCCGTTTCGAGTGCTTTGGATGCATCCTTCGGAAGGCTGCTTAAGACGACAGAAGCCGCCATGCTCAGTGGCGCTTCTGTCGCTTCATCTTCTTCTGGTATCTTTTCTTTGGGTGACTCGGACATGATGTAAATCGGGAGAAAGTTTGCCTCGGTGAGAAGGCGACAAGGCCCCCAGAAACCAAGAAATGGGAATTGTCAACGAGGAAAAGCAAGAGTGCAACGAGGTGACCCAAGTGATGCGCTGATTGACACACGGCTAAGAAAATGTAGGTGAAGGCAAGAGCGATGGTCAGGTGGAAGGTATCAACGTCGACTTAGCCAATCAGCGCCCCACCACCTAGACTGCATCCCTACAATGCACTAGCAGAAGCAACAACGTACGATATCACTTTCATATTGATATCTAGTACTCTACATATCTGAAACAATAGTGATAGAAACATAAGCTCCGGTATTGTGATAATCAGCCCGTTCATCCGTCATCAAATCCTCTCTTAGTATGACAATGTCCTTCAAACCACCATGGGTACCAACGCCTATTTTCAAGCACACGCGCACGTGCGCACACCGCCAACCAACCGGTTTGCAATCGCAATGACCAGCAAAAAGGACTACAGGGCCATGATGCAATAGGTATATACAAAGGAACGCGTGTATCGTTAGCGACCAGGGATCGGAGATCGTGGCCTATACTGAGCAAGGAAATGAGCAGGTTGTGCTAGGTCGCCAAAATTGGGAGGGTAAAAGTTGCGCCAGAAATGCTATGAAGAAGGGGTATTTGCTCGCAGGCGAAAACTGCGAGCCTCAAGGCGAGAATTGGAAAGGGGGAAAAGAGACGTTTTCGTGGGTATTAGTGGAATCATCCATTACGCCGTGATAGATGCAAGGAGTGACCGTGTATTCTGTATGAGCCACGAGGCTCACCGACGGTCAAGTTGGGCGAGCAGCTGGTCGAGCTCAACCCAATTGTCAATGTTTGCCGCGAATTTACGGTGCTTGCGGGAGACGACGTGCTGTATGCTGTTAGTAACTTGCCCAAAGAGCGATGATCATGAGTCGTACCTCGTCGAAGTCATTGAACTTCTCCCTGCAGTTCTCGCAGTAACCTGGCTTCAACTCCTTCTCGACGTTCTTGCGTCTGCGGAGAGCTGCGGCTTTACGAGCTTGTCTCTCTTCGTCTCCATCGTCATGCATTCGACCCAGGGTTTCTTGGGCTTTGCGCTTGGCTGCTCGCATAGGTTGAGAGTGTTCCTGGCTAAGCGCGGTCCTAACATCATTGGTTACGGACGAATGGCCACTGTTTGTATTCGCCGAGGGCATGCTGTTCTTCTCAAGGACCTTTCGTTTCAGCTGGTTGACTTCCTTGCTGTTGCCGGCCCGAGGAGCAGCAGCGGTGGAGGAAATCATTTGGGAGCGGATGGCAGACGTGACGTTGGACTGTTGCAATCCAGATGCGACAGGCTCGCCAGCAATGCAACGGGGCATTGCTCGGATGCTAGCCTGGGCGCTGCCAAACATGGGTGGTTGGCCATCGGCTGTGGTACAGCGCTTAAGGGGGAGGGCCTTTGGAGGGTCCAGTGGTTTTGCGTTATCAGTCTCTTCCTTGGTGATGACGGCGGGAGCACTAGGACGGCGGGCGAGGTTGTTGTTCTCAACAAGGGCATTCTTCTCTTCCATAGCAGAGACTGCACGCGTGCGTGGGGCTGCTGCAGACTGTCTACGACGCGCTTCCTGCTCTTCCTGCTGTCTGCGGCCGAAATGGGGATCCTCCACAAACGGACACTTGCCGTTACCTGAGGCGCGGAACTGCGGCCACTTGCCCTTCTCTTTCTCAACCTTTTGATATTCTCGGATCATGACTGGTCGCGTGACCTCATCCATATCATGGACGTAGACGTAGTATCCACGAAGTGGAATCATGTCTTGCGAAGACATGACGTAGTCGCGATCCAACTTTTCATTTTGCAGTAACCTTTGTAGATCAGCAGGACGACCCTTGTGCTGCGTGGTCGTGCTCTGACGCGTGGGGTGGCTGGATACATCTTCACCCGTTTCCTTGTTGAACATGGTATCAATCATTCGCTGCACCTTGTCGACAGACCATATCTTCATCCCCAGGCTCTTGGCCTTGTACAGGATATCACCACGGTCCGACTTTTCAAGAGCAGCATCGAACACAGACTTCTTGTTTTCAAGCTGGGCGGGGTTGACGGTTCCTTTGTGGGCGGAGGAGCTGCCGTCAATGTCGACGGGAATGGGGCGCGTAGTGATGACATGAGTGACTTCTCGAGAGAAAAATTTAACCTCGCGCTGTATAGGATTAGCAATGGGTACCTGACAGTAGGGTGAGTACGCGTACCGAGCCGAGAATGCGGGCTCTGCTCATAAGCTTGTCTTTTTGCGGATCCGAGACGCTGTCAAAGTAAAAGGCAAACTGCGGAAAGAGCTTGCGGTAATGGCGCTGCCATTGCCGGATGGTCTCCAAGTCCTGAGCGGCTCGCTGCGCGGCCTGCTTGGTCGGGGCCTTTGTCTCTCGTGCGGCTTCGAGCTTCCGGGTTAAGGCAGTTGGTTGGGCCCCACTACGACGCACAAGGCCGTGACGACGAGCCTCGGCATCGTCGACCTCGACCATCTGCTTCTTGGGCGGTGGTTGGCCATAGGTTCCATCACGCTGCTCGCTGGCGTAGGAGCGTTGGCGCTTTCCTCCGATAGCTGGGGCGCGCATTGGGGAGTTTGTTGCATTTTGAATATTGGCGAGAGGGACGCGACGGCTCGACATGACTGTAAGAACCTGCGGTGAGGGAGGAACAGCCACTGCTGCCATGCGTAGTTCGCTAGTAACAGCAGTGGGTTAGTGTGGTTGAGTAGTGGTAGTACAAGATAGGCTGGCGGGAGGGGCAGGTGAGCGTGTGATGGTGGTGGCAGCTCACGACGCGACGAAACAGGCACGTCAGTAGGGTTTTCAGCAGCGCGTAGCGGCCATGTCGGTATGGTAGGGTGAACGAGAGGCCAGGAGGGAGCTGTACAGGAGCGGATTGAGCGAAGGAGAAGCGCGTCTGCAGGCCAGGGTCTGCGTTCTTTGACCAAGGAAAGAGAGAGTTTGTTGTGGAGGCTGGTATGATGATGGATGCTCGCTGGGCGCTAAGCCGCATCCGGCACTAGTCCCCAGGCGTCGCGCGAACCACGCAAATAATCTGCCTGGCAACCAAACAACCGAACCCTTGCTGTCAACATCGTCCATGCACGACATGCTGCTGCTGCGAACACACTAGCCTCCCGTCCACCCCCATCCTGTCTGTCCCTCCAAACACCTGCTCTCGACGATGCTATTGGCACGCGTCTCTACGGGGCTTCTTCCTGCTAATCAAACCACGACACCCCTTTCCCGTAGCCCGAGTCGTCATCAAACATGTGCTAGGGGCCTCTTTGACAACCCCTCTTGGCGTCGGCCCTTTGTTTAGCCAGCATCTGCCTTCATGGCCAGTGTCTCCCCCCGTCTTCGATACGCTAACAGCTGCTCACCCTCATCGTTCGTCGCTCCCGAGGCTGTGAACTTGATCTTCACTACCCGGTTGCCGTCGTGGTCACCGTCGTCCCATGGCTCAGCTGGCGATCTGACCTAGCCGACAAATCATCCAGAAAAAGGAAACGCTGTTGTGCCATCACACCAGCCGTTAGCCCAGCCTAGGGAGGTTTCAATGTTTCTTCTTCTGCCCTCGCCATTGGAAATGAATGGCTAATTGATGCGTATCCATGGACATGTCCCCAATTACAGCTCATCAAACATATCCATCTGACAAATGCACCCAGCAAATTCCTCCTTGGAGGGCATTTCTTCTTTTCAAAATTCACCACACTGATGTCGTCACTCCACTTCAGGAGCCTGCCAGGCCCCATGCCTCATGCATTGATCGAGTCTTCTTCAACTCTTGTCTTCGCCTTGATTTTAGTGTCAACTTTCCTTTCCACTTAATTCACAACGGTCGAAGTTTCCTTATGCACTGCACAGTCCGTGCTGACCATGTCGTCATCTCCGATAAATGCGACCCTTGAGTAGGCTGCCGGTCGAGCGGAGACACGAAATTATGTACGGATCGTTGACATTTACCTATATGGTCTTGCAGACGCTGTATGCAAGTATTGCGGATACCTCCAGGAACTCATCCACGAGGTCAGTCCCACTTGTGTCAGCGCATGACCAGAACAATACTAATAAGGAACATGAACATAGCTTATACTCACAGATTCGTGGTTGCATTGAGGTGGTCTGACTCGAACGATTATTGGGGTTGTTAGCATATCCAAAGTATATACAGTATCAGCCTCCCAACCCCAGCCCCACCGAGCCCACCGACGATGGCACAGCAGACAACGACATACCATTCCCATCACTATCGATGTACATATATAAAGAAGGCAATTGGCATGTTGATTCCGCACCGAAGACAGCTTGGAGGGTGACGCGCTCACACATTCGCTTTTGAGATTATGATGGAATGCTGCACACGGCTACCATATCACTGGGCGCGGGATCGACAAACGGGTGACAAAGAGCGGGAATATGCACGTCTCCACCACGATTAACTTTGTGGAAGCCCCAGAATAAGCCTCCGTGCACTCTGCTTATCTGCACACATGAGGAAGGATATTCGAGAAGCAAAATACCACTTTGGTCGCTCACATAGACACGGCTATTAGCTAGTCGACTCTTATATATCTATGGCACAACAGAGCACGGGCCTTTGATTCTTCTTCTCTGCGTCTATCTATCTTGTCTGCTTAAAAAATAACAGAGTAGCTAGTAATCCAGTCGTAGATGTACTTTTGCATCCTAAAGCGTATACAGACTGCTTTGTTCAGTCCTGCCCTACATATAGGGTACTAAAAAGGGGCTTTACCCAAGCCAGGAAAGACTATCCATCTGTCGGTATGCTCTCAGTACACCTAGGAGGCACCTCGATATGGCTTGATAATGGGTTGGAGAAGGGTGTCATGTATGATAGTGATACTCCTATCTTCTCCTTTATATCCACCAAAGTAGAGATTTGGGGTAGAAGTGAGTTATTCTAATAATATTTCTTTAGGCTGTCATCCTTCTGTTTATCCTCTATGATATGAAATACCTACAAGATCCTGTAAATGCACCACCATACTCTGGTATTGTGTATAGTATAGTACTTCATGCTCTACCTCACATTGACGCTTCCTACAGTGTGTTGCACTAGCGGGCTCCGTCATGCCTCATGTCCGCGTTTCCCGCTATGTACTGCTCGATGCTACAATTAGACCCTGGATATGACATATGCCAAGACTATTCTGTACGAGAATGCAAAGATCAGCACGTGAAGGGGTCCGAAGATAAGGAAGCGGAAAAGATCGGGTGAAAATGCACATGTGATACCGCTCATCTACAGTTGGTCGCGCATGCTGTCAGGTGGTACATAGGAAGTAAGGGGAAAGACAAGAATAAAAAGACCAAGGGTTGAGTTAAACTTTACGAGATCGAAGGCCCAGACATGTGACGAGCGTGCACAAAAGAAGGGTGATCGAACGTTGCACACACGTTCTCACCCGATCCAGCTCATTGGTGGTCGGAGGGCTCGGCTATCAGGCGTGGAAGACCCCTGGAAGGTGGCGCTCCTTTCAACGGCGGCGCGCGCTCAACACTTTCACATGCAAGCCGCCTCGCCAGCCTTGGGATTTAGATTTTGACAGATTTGGCATAATGCAGTCTCAGCGAAACAAGGACGGCCGCTGTGCAGCCGCAAAAACTCAAAATGACCTCTTCAATTCTTCACAAACGTCCTCGCGCACCCTTTGGCTTGTCTGTTGTTCGCACTCATCCATCGTCAATCGTGGGTGAAGCATCGCGTTCTGATAGTGTAGGGAGCGCCTACTAGCGGGACGGTGGTTCGACAAAATGCTCCTGACCGAATCGACAGAGCCATCTGCGACTACTTTCGACTCGGTCTCTCCTGTCCAGATTAAAGACAGCAGCTTCCGGCCCAGCATGCTTTACAACGTACTGCCCACCGTGGTGTCGAGTCGCCTACCCACGATACCTTCGCTCCGCCAGTCTCTTGGCGACGTACGGAGTCGAACCTATTACAATAAATCCGATACCGTGATAGAGTTACCACAGCCTGTGACGCCGCCACCGGGGTACTCGACCATGCCTCCAAGCGAAACCGTTTCACCACACAAACTCTCTGCTGCTTTGGGGGAGGCAGAAGTCGATTTTGCCGACGATGTGTCTGAAGGCCAAGCTTCTTCCAGGGTCGTGCCCTTGGTAGTTCCTGGTGCTCAAGAAATGCGTTCTGGCGTCAGATGGAGATATGCCGGTCTAGGTACGTGGTAGACCGTGTCTTGGGGAAATGTTGCTTACACTATATCTAGGAATAAGTCTGTTGCAACAGGCATCTCGAGAGTCAAACGCATCGGCTGGTAGCTTGGATGAGGCGTCTGCAACACTCATTCGACAACTATACGTACATGGCATCACCTATCTGCTTCGAGGACTCCCAGAGAACCTCACGGCAGAGGAAAGGTTGAGTCTACAGGCCGCCCTTCCACAGGATCTCGTAGAATCAGTCAGTGATTCAAACACAGGCGCGCTCGTACGTGCCACACCACGGAGCTCCGACCTTGCACAAAGGCCACCACAGAATCCTACTATCATACACCGCATGACGGCAGCGTTCGTACTGCAGACGTTTCTCTTCCTGCAGTTTCTGCTGCCGTACATTCGGCTCTTCCTTTCGCATGCGTATCGCTTTGAGAGGAAGCACCGAATCACGCAGCGAATCATTGACACGAGTGTAGCGACCGCCGATGAATTTGGTCAGAAGGCGCTCAGGTTCTCGCAGGTTGTATGTCAGATGAACGACGGCATGGTTATCCAGACCTTTAACGATTTGACCATGTGGTGGATAACTGGTGTGACGGGAGGGGTGCAACAAGGCCTCGCCGAGGGTCTCCGAACTATGAAAGCTGCGGAAGGGCAGCGACGTGGGGAGGTAGAGGAGGAGAAGTAGTAAAGTGGACGTTTTTTTTTCCTTATTGGCATTGGAGGCGGCGTTTGAGCATTTTCAAGGTTGCATAGAAACATGGCTTTATGAATGGTAACACTCATGTTTACTTTTGGATTATTCTGCAATGTTGTTTTGCTGCGTTAGACCCTGAGCGATTGGATGTTGGTGGAGAGGAAGGGCCTTATCTTATCGGCGCGGGCGGCGGGCTTTCTGCTAGGATGTGGACTGTGCACGTACCCTATCGAAAAAGTGAATGGCAAAGTTTCTGGCAACTCGACCGCCGCACATTTCTCTCTTGTGCCCACCCGCTTTGTTCATTGAGGCGCACAAAAAAATTACTCGCATTCTTTTTTGTCGCATACCTTTTAGATACCCCTTCCATTTCTTCGGACTGCGTGCCGGCCCCTCCCCCACATCATGTTCGGCGCAGTAAGAAGATGCCCAGCGACTCTCTCGAGGAGTCTGGCGGCAATCTCAACCAGAACACTTCGCACCCCTCTCACTCAGACTTCAGGTCTTCTTAGGATACCTTTACAGTCGTCACGCTTCGCGAACGGCGCCATTGCCGGCTTCCATCACAGCGCAAAGTGGCAACAAATTGCGGCACAAGAGGCGGAACAGAGTGAACAACAGAATGAACCCGTTACAGAGTTCCAGGATCTCGCCACTCGCGGACTCGTCCATCCCAATATCATAAACACCATCACCAAACAGATGAAACTCAAGACCATGACGGATGTGCAGAGCAGGACGATCAATGAGGCGTTAAGCGGGGTGGACATGTAAGAATCTTTGCTTTGTCCATTGGGAATGTTATACTAACGCACCACAGCATTGCACAAGCAAAGACCGGTACCGGTAAAACACTCGGTTTTCTCATTCCCATCATCCAGCGAATCATCCAAAACGACCCTAAGCTCGGCGAGAAAGTCAAGGGCTACAAGCGCGCCAGACCCGACGATATCAGGGCCATTGTCATCTCTCCTACCCGCGAGCTCGCCGAACAAATTGCAGTCGAGGCCAAGAAGGTAGTCTCTAACACTGGCATTGTCGTCCAGGTTGCGGTGGGAGGTACACAGAAAAAGGCTATGCTTCAGAAGACGCAGCGTGAAGGATGCCATCTCATGATTGCGACGCCAGGACGACTATACGACATTCTGTCTGACGAGTACTCTGGCATTGCTGCACCACGTCTAAATGCGCTGGTCATGGATGAGGCGGATCGCCTGCTTGACGATGGTTTCCAAAAGGAGATTGATGACATCAAGACACTTCTTCCCGACCCCAAAGAGGTCGAGCGCCAAAATCTCATGTTCTCTGCTACGATTCCCCGCGATGTTGTCAACCTGGTTCGCGAGACAATGCGTCCTGGCTTCCACTTCGCTAAGTGCGTCAATGAAGATGAAGAGCCCACACACGAGCGCATTCCTCAAAAGATGGTCATGGTTGCTGGTTTCGAGAACAACATTCCCGCTCTGTACGAACTGGTTCTCCAGCAGCACCAGAAGGCCCAGGAAAGTGGTAGCCGCCCATTTAAGGCTATCGTCTATTTCAACAGCACCGCCGAAGTCACACTTGCGTCATCAGTATTTTACAAGCTCAGCGGTGGCTTCAAGCGCAACAACCCTCTGTCCGGCCTCCGTGGATTTGAAATTCACTCTAAGCTCTCTCAAGCACAGAGAACAAGGGCCGCTGACGACTTCCGCTTCGCTAAGTCTGGCATCCTCTTCTCGTCTGATGTAACCGCACGTGGTATGGACTTCCCAGACGTCACACACGTCATCCAAATGGGTCTCCCTCGCGAACGCGAGTCGTATATTCACCGTCTGGGTCGTACCGGTCGTGCTGGAAAGGAGGGCGAGGGATGGCTCATCCTGTCTCCCTTTGAGAGGCAAGAAGTCCACCGCCGTCTCCGTCACCTGCCTCTTGTCAATGCAACGCACGAACTCGAGACTGCCACCGTTGATATGAGCCAGCCTACTGAGGTTCCGGAGAACGTTGCTAAGATCCTATCTGACTGTGTCGAAGCGCACAAGAAGGTCTACCCTGACCAACTTGATGCGGCATTCCGAGGTCTGTTTGGGGGCTTCCAGTGGTATGGTGATAAGCAGGGCCTGATTGAGGGTGCCAACCGTTTGGCAGAGTTTGGATGGGGAATGGAGACTCCACCTCCACCACCGTCTTTTGTCATGGCTAACCAGAGGCGATCTGGCGGTGGCGGCCGTAGCGGTGGATATGGAGGTAGGTCGGGAGGTGGCTATGGCGACCGACGAAGCGGAGGAGGTTATGGTGGTGACCGAAGGAGTGGAGGATTCGGAGGTGACAGAAGAGGCGGAGGCGGCTTCGTTGGCGACCGAAGAGGTGGAGGTGGTTTTGGAGGAGACCGCAGGGGTGGAGGCGGCTTTGGAGGCGGCTTTGGAGGAGACCGTGGAGGCTTCGGAGGCGACAGGAGAGGCGGAGGTGGCTTTGGAGGTGACAGGAGAGGAGGCGGCGGTGGATTCGGCGACCGCCCCAGAAGGGAACCTCGACTTGACTTTTAAGGGGGAAAGGAAAAGAGAAAAGGGAGTTTTTTCTGAGTTTGGTCTATCCCTCATGAAGTAACGGTCACGCCTCTCTTTTTTTCGGGGGGTTTTCTTTCTGTCATCATCATTGTATTATATATTGTATACCCCCTCCTTACCAAAAAGTCTTTCTTTCTTTTCTTTTCTTTTCTCTTCATGTATTTTTACGATCACTTCACAGAAGGCGTAGGGGTATGATTTTAAATGAAGATGTAAAAGAAGAAGAAGTAAAAATCATGTATCGTTTCATATACATAATGAAGGTGGACTTGTATGTCGCCATCGTCCCTGCTCATCTCTTTTCCGCGCCTTCCCCTCTCTATACCCAACAGAAGGAAAAGAAAGACATACTTATAAAATTTCCAATCACAACAAATCCACCTTCTCCCTCTCATCCTCAACTACTCGCTCAAACTCATCAAACTCCTCTTGCGACATGGGATACGTATGCATCTCCTCTGGATACACCCTCGTCTTAACCTCATCCCTATACCTCTCGAGCGCGCCCAGGGCCTCACCCCACACATTTCCATATTGCTTTACGAACTTGGGCAGGAAGCGGCCTGGGGGAAAATTGCCGAGCATATCAACGTGGACGAGGACCTGCCCGGAGCACGCATTGCCGGCTCCAATCCCAATCGTCGGGATGCGCAGCTGTCGGGTGACGAGGCCCGCGACTTGGGCGGGCACGGCTTCAAGCACGACTGCGAAGGCGCCTGCATCTTGGACAGCCAGCGCATCTGTCAGGAGGGTGAGTGCTGAGGCTGTGGTTTTGCCCTGGACGCGGAAGCCGCCTAGAGCGTTTTGGCGCTGGGGGGTTAGGCCGATGTGAGCGAGGACGGGAATTCCAGCTGATGTTATTTTAGAAATGGTAGGGGCCATTTCGGCGCCGCCTTCTAGTTTTACGGATTTGACACGCCCGGTTTTGACCATTGTGATTGCGGATTGGAGGGCTTGGGCGGGGGAGATTTCGTAGGTGCCCATGGGGAGGTCGCCGACCTGAATTTTTTTGATGGGTTAGCATTATTGGACATAATTGTTTTGGGGGAAGGGAGGGATACAACGTACAGTAAAGGCGGATTTTGTGGCGCGCGCGACAGATTTACAATGCAGAAGCATTTCTTCCATTAGGACTTCGCTTGTATCTTCCATACCGAGGGCGACCATGGCGAGGCTGTCGCCAACGAGTATCATGTCCATGCCGGCATGATCGGCGACATGTGCGCTGGGGAAGTCATGGGCTGTGACCATGGTGATTGGCTCACCCTTGCGGTAGAGTCCCTGCAAGGTGTTGAGGGTGACGGGTTTGCGGGCGTTTGTGGGCGGCTTGCCAAGCGGGGAATGGGAACTCCATCGGGTTTGTGCGGTGGACAGTGTGATGCGCGGTATTGTTGAGGGTGAGGAAGGTCGAGGTGTAAGTTGCGAAGACAGCCGCAGTGTCTTGAATAGCGCACGTGACATCGTGGCGGCACCGGCAAGGCTGCAGTTGGACGGGTAAGATTTTCTGGGGGGAAGAAAATGTGTCGCGGCAGCGGGGAGAATAAGGAGGCAGGGTGGTCAGCCATGATTTAGTGCGGTGAGCGTTCTCTTATGCTTTGGGACATTGTGATGATATCTTCAGCGAAGTTCTGAGCAGACGTTGTTTAGAATGAACCGAGGATCATCGTTGGCCGAGACGGACAGGGGGGTGTGGTTGGTCCCTTTTTTGGCCAGACAGGTATGTAATCGCTGTAATTCCCCGAGCTGAATGCCGAATACTTAGGCTCCCAACAATCTCCAGCAGTTGATTTGTTGATGTCTTTCCTTCTCTTCTATTTTGCAACACCTGTGCTTGGTGGGGTCGTCGATGTCGTCGTCGTCGGACAAGCGGTGAATTGGTGGGCGCAACCTCGGGGAAGCTGCGGCATTGCTCCACACTGATTGGGCCATGCCCGCCTTGGACTGCCAGAAACGGAGTCCGAACAAGACAGTATAAACGAGTCGAGCAGGCTTGTGGCTGAGGCCTTGCAGCCTTGGTTCTCTCTCTGCGTATAAGGTCGGTAATGCTTTTGCACATCGAGTCATGCAATCGAGTAATGGCCGGCTATTCAAGGGGTCCCTGGACTGGCTGAATGATGCATGGATGGATCAGTCGACTATGTCTGAGTACGCTGCACGCATAGCTTTGGTGGATTCGAGTATGTATCGTAGAGAGAGCGTGCAGTCTGCAATGCAGCTCCATATGCGCATAATGACTTTGGCTGTGAGAACTGTCCAGTCGCTTGTCACAAGGTAAGGGTCGTGTCGACATGTTCGAGTACCTGGATGGTGTGTCCAGACGTCAAATAAATGTTGCCAGATAGCGGATCGTCGCGCATCCCGGTCATCAAGAAGACTGCACCATAAGCATGTTTGAGAGTATTCGATCGATTATTCGGCGGCGTGCGACGTCTCGCCGATGGTTGGCCCAGGTGAGACGTGCGCAAGCGTGACACGCCGCCGCACTATCATCATCGCTCGTGATCTCGTGACGACTCCCTCATCTTCGTGCCTCGCGCCTGTCTGTTCCTGACTCCTAGCACGTTGCGCCCGACAAACTCGACCCCAAAACCCGTACACACACTCCACATCACACTCGACTAAACCGAAACCCCCACTTGACCAACACACCAGCTGCCCTCTCCCAGCCACGGCGCCCCTCTTCCGCTATCGATAGCCCCGCCGCCCACTCAACAACAGCTCCGCCGCCACTCTGCCCTGCGCGACCACGCTGCGAGCTTTTGGCTTTGAATACAAGCATTGCGAGAACAAAACCTGATATAATAGCGTATACACGTCCTGCGCCAAATATGAGTTCGCCAAAGAGACGTATCGAGACGGATGTATGTGGGACCTAAACCCCCTACCAATGACTGTTGGATGAACAAGAGCTAATTGAGCACTCTACCCGTAATAACAGGTCATGAAGTAAGTCGCATAGACTCCCTTTGCGCAACATAATGCTAACGAGTAAACAGGATGTATGCCTGACCACCTGGAACCTGTTGCAGCAATTCGCGCCACAACGATGGTGACACAAGAACCTCAGCTGACAGCGCCCAGGCTCATGAGTGACTATGAAGTAACTCTAGTCAATGACAACAGTGAGCAATCATCCTTTCACCCCATGGACACTCTCCGCTAACATGCTCTAGTGTCAGTTCATCTTGTCGTTTAATCCCACATGCGTCTAACTGCTAACATGTCCCAGGCAAGAGTTCTATGTCAGATTCAAGGGTCCGTCGGAAAGTATGTCGGAATTTCCCCATTTCGCATATCATGTGCTAACCATACACAGCTCCATTCGAAGGCGGCCTTTGGAAGATACACGTCGAACTGCCAGACCAATATCCCTACAAGAGCCCCAGTATCGGTTTCGTCAACAGGATATTCCACCCCAATATCGATGAGCTGTATGTACTTGCCTTGCTTGTATCATCGCCTCAAGCAATCTTCTGACATCAATAGCTCTGGCTCCGTCTGCCTGGACGTCATCAACCAAACCTGGTCACCAATGTACGACATGATCAACATCTTCGAAGTCTTTCTCCCCCAACTCCTTCGATATCCCAACCCGACCGATCCTCTGAACGGAGAAGCTGCTGCTCTTCTCATGAGGGAACCTAAGAGCTACGACGCCAAAGTCAAAGGTATGTACAGCAGTAAAGTGCCAATGAATGCGGGCCAGCAACTAAAAATTAAATAGAGTACGTACAAAAGTACGCTAGCAAAGATACAGCCGAGGACTCTGACAAAGATGATGGCGATGATGACGAGATGAGCTCAGTCGGCAGCTACGAGTCTGGCGATGAAGATGGAGCTGCAGGCAATATGGATGACATTTAGATGGCCATGCCGGGTTTGACCTGTCTTCCCCCCATGGCCGTTTTGTTTGATTTCTCATGGCTGGACGTTCAAGGCGCTAGTGTGGCGCACACATAGGCTGGGTTTTCTCATCTTTTGCTCTCTTGGACTACACGGTTTGGGTTAATGACCTAGTTTTAGGCAACAGCATTCTCTGTTATGCTCCTTGTTCGTATATGAAATACCAAAGTAGTGTTCCCATTGCATGCACGATGAACATGTATTTGTCGTGCCATCAAGTCTTTGTCAACTTCCTTTTATACGTTCTACCACTTTCTGCTCACCTGGCTTCATTCCTGTTTACCCCCTAATCAGTCCTGCCTTTTCAGGTATGTTTGTTACCGGTGTATTGGTCTGGTCGCTACCAACACCAGATGCCCCGCCCAGAGCAGCATGGCAAACAGATGATATACCGCTAATGGTCTGATATGCCGCTGCTCATAGGATGCTCACAGTCACCGCTGGATGCTACTACCAAAATGATATCCTGTCACAGTGAGCGTGAACTGACTTGACGTCACAGGATGCCGTATCGTCCCTTTCACTCTCACTTGACACGTTACTGGCCTGTATATAAACACCCAGTTGCCAGCCCAACCCCTTTCGCCCCCAACAAAAATCAACTTTCATAGCATTTTCCTGCACGTGGTATTAGTTCAACCCCTGTCTAAGCAAGCACTCAAATTATCCCAAGCCATAAAAAATGGCCCCTCGCACTGAGCATGAACCTAAAAAGCATCACTGCGTCAACCCCGGTGCTAGAGATCGTCCATATCTCAACGCACACACTGGTGCTGGTGTCAATAAACACCGCCCCGCCAGCGGTAGAAGCAATGCCTGCGTCAGCTCCACCTTCAAATCAAGCCACCAGGGCAGTCAAAGTCGAAGTCGTTACGTTCGTGTCTCGTCTCCGGATGTAGATGCTGTAGAGCATCATCCCAAGATCCGCGACGAACATCACGGTAAGAACGGCAGCAATGGCATTGGCAAACTTCATGCCCAGCACCACAACACTCGCCTTGTCAACAGCCATGACTACGACGGAGACACAAAAGCCAGTGCCACGCCACGTCTTCCTATCAAGAAACACAGCTCCACTTCTTCTTCCTCTCCTACTACCACCCAGCCCCCCTCCACCTCCACCATCAAACCCCTCAGCACCAGCACCAGCACCCGCGACATCATCGCCATCCCCAAGCCCCTCTTCGCCCGCCGCCGCCACTGCACCGACCCCGTCAAGCGCGCCTTTACGAACCACAATCTGCGTGCTATTCTGTCCGACAAGCCGTGGCCAACGCAGCGCAAGAAGGCGAGTGCCGAGAAGATGGTGCTGAAGATGGGGATAAGGAAGGAGTATAAGTGAGTAAGCGCCTCGTTCAAGAGTCCTTTGCTGGGGGGGATTGCTTGTTGGAGTGCTTTTTTTTTCANGGGGGGGGACGGGAAGACTATTGAAGGAAAAAAGCAGAGATTGGGGATGGAGGAAGGAAGGGGTAATGGAGGTAATGAAATGCAAGGAGGAAAATGGGGAAATAGCCTCGATTATGTATGTAATTGGGTGAAAGAGGATAGCTTGAATTGATTGAGGGATTATATGTATGGTGCTATCATTTCCCATATCGTGATTGGGTTGAGCGAGCCACGTGGGGGAAAGCTGGGGGGAGTGAATGTGTGAGGGGAGGGGAGGGGTTGATTTGGGTTACGCTGGACTGGGGGGGGCTGGGCTGGGACATTAGCAGTAATATACTGGGGTATCAGGTACAAGTTGAGTACTTGGACAAGATGGTGAGGTGGCTAGCTATCAGTGTGTGACATTTACACGAACTTCAAAAAAAATGTAATGGTAGTTTCGGGCACAATTCGAGCAATTAACCTATTTCTTTTCCAAGAGCAATAGGATCTTTCAGCAGTAAGTCACTGCAACGCTTTCCAACACACGATTCGCACATACTACTCATACCGAACACAAGCTTCAGCAGAATCATCAAACTCCAACTCATTTCTTCGTTGCCTCATCCGCAATCAAAGCCTCAACATCCCTCTCCATAAGCCACGTGCGTACACTCTCCATAACAGTACTCAGCGTCTGACCCCCCTGCATGACATCATCCAAATCATGCACAGTCGTCCCGCTCCTATGATCCGTGACGCGCTGCTGACCCCAATTGTACGTTCGCACTTTATCGCCGCGCCCCATTTTGGCCACGCCAATGACGCTGCGACGCATATTCGCCATTTCCTCCTCGCGCTTCTCTCGCCGGGATTGCGCGATGCGAGAGCGCAGCAGTGTCCACGCTTTTTCTTTGTTCTTGTGCTGGGACCGTGAGTCTTGCATTGCGACTACGGTGTTTGTGGGCGTGTGTGTTAGACGGACGGCGGACTCGGTCTTATTGACGTGTTGGCCTCCGGCGCCGCTGGCGCGCATGACTTCGACTTTGACTTCTTTTGGATCGATGTAGTAGTCGCTTTCTGGGTCGTCGAAATCCTGTTCTTCTGTCGAGTTCTCTTGGAGACTGGGGAGCACGTGGACAGATGCGGCGCTGGTATGTGTTCGGCCTTTGGTTTCGGTAGCGGGTACGCGTTGCACACGGTGGACGCCGGCTTCACATCTAAAAACACCATATGCATTTTCATCTTCTACTTCGATGATAGCTTCTGAAAGCGGTATCCCGGCTTCTGTCGTTCCGTTGACGTTTTCGTATTTCAGGATGTTGGTCCGGAAGCCGTTTCGATTACAATAGGCTTGATACATGCGAAATAGATCGCCGGCAAAAATGGCAGCTTCTGACCCGCCTGCGCCAGGTCGTATCTCTAGTAGACATGGCAGGTGCGCAAAAGGGTGTACTGGTACCAGCGAAGTGATGAGGTTTTGGGAAGCATTGGCGAGTTGGGTTCTTGTTTCTGCGAGATCATCTGAAGCAAGTGATCGTAATTCTGGATCGGTAGAGGAGTCGTGTATCATCGAGGTAAGCTCTGCCACTGACTTAGTCCAGATCAGTGCCCGTACTGCTTGTAACATGTGCGCATCCTATGCCTACCTCATTGGCCTTGTTCCATTCTCCCAGAGCATTCACAATGGGGCTGTACTCGCCCAATTTCTTCGCCGCACGCGTATCGAAGCCATTAGACAGCCTTTCTGTGAGCTGTTTATGCTCGGAAGTGATTGCCTGGGCTCGAGCAAGGAGGGCTGGCGGTATGGATTCGGGTGATGCAGCTTTTTGTAGTAGTATTAGCAACATACCGTAAAACATAGATTCACACTACTCACTAGAGCTTTGCAGACGAACATTGCGCCTAAGAATTGGCCTCCCTATTCGTGAAAGGCAGCTCCGACATATCCAGGGCGCTGCAAGCATAGTCGTAGACATGCGAAGAATTTCAATTGTGACGGAATTCTCAAAGTCTCCAACGCGCATTCCGATCGGTTCGGAACGCATGCACGTGACGCAGTCTCTCACGCTCGCAAGGGTCACACCGCTTTAACCACCTTCCGCATGCATATCGTTCGCGTCTTGCCATAAACGTCATGGACACTTATCGGAGGCTGGTGCACCCTGTCCCGAGGTACTTATCGAGCGAGATCGGCACTGCAAGCGGCATCGACCATCTCCGGGGATAACCGTCGTACATAAAAGAGCTATGTCAAGTACACATTCATAAACTTTCCCCGTATTCATAGCAAAAAAAAGCTCCAGAAGCTGCCCCCAGAGCTCCATATACCTCCAGATACAATGCCGCCTACTCCACGACGAAGCAAGAGGACCAAGGCCAACCACGACCCGGAGCCTGAACCTCAAGCAAAGAAGCAGCGGCTCACAGAAGAAGCTACTGCTCCAGGCAATCCAAATGTGTATCCTCATCCTGAACCCCAGTTTGTCCACTTCCCCAGCCGGCGCTCCGTGATACACAGCACAAAGGGCATTGTATCCAGCACCCAGCCACTCGCCTCGGCAGCTGGCATTGAGATTCTGAGGAAAGGCGGGAATGCAGCTGTATGACGTAATCTATTACCCATTACCATGTGCAAATAGCTCACATTTTACCAGGATGCAGCTGTAGCGGTAGCGGCAGCTATCAATGTTACGGAGCCTGGCTCCACCGGCATTGGTGGTGATATGTTCTGCTTGTACTACGATGCAAAGACAAAGAAGGTCTCGGCGCTGAATGGATCTGGCCGCTCGGGGGAGAACGTCACACTTGAGAAGGTCAGGAAAGATCTTAATCTCGCGGATGGCCAGCATGGTCAGATACCAATGGATCACGTGCTTGCAGCCACAGTTCCCGGCGCAGCAGCAGGATGGGTTGACTGCGTTGAGCGCTTCGGTAGTGGAAAGGTCAGCATGGAGGAAGTTCTTGCGCCTGCTATTGAGCTTGCAGAGAAGGGCTTCCCAGTGTCTGAGCTGTCTGCAACCTTTGTAAGTCAAACCAGGTTCATTTGAGAGATGCCTACTGATACTGTAATAGTGGGCAGCTAGTGAAGCTGACATTCGACGTGCTTCGCCCAACGGCCATGAAATGCTAAAAAAAGACCCGTCTGCCAAAGATGGCTGCAGGGCACCAAGAGCAGGTGAAATCATGAGGAACACAACAATTGCGAACACGTTCAAGCTCCTCGCCAAGCACGGAAAGAAGGGCTTCTACGAAGGAGAAGTCGCGGAACAGCTTGTAAAGGTGGTGCAAGATCTTGGTGGCTACCTCACTCTGGACGACCTCAAGTATCATGCCGAAACCGGGTCTGAGCTTGTCGACCCCATTTCGCTGAAATACACTGGTCAAGGCGTAGGAGAGAATACTAATGGCGGTATCGAACTGTGGGAGCATCCGCCAAACGGTCAGGGCATCGTTGCTCTGATGGCGCTAGGCATCATCCAAGAGCTAGAGAAGCAGGGCAAGATTCCCAAATGGAGCCTTAAAGACCACAACAGCACAAGCCACCTGCATGCTCTAATCGAAGCGCTCCGAATTGCCTTTTGCGACGCGCACTGGTTTGTTACCGACCCCAACGTGGTCAAGGTGCCTTCAGCAGAGCTCATTTCAGAAAAGTACTTGGCAGAGCGCGCAAAGCTGTTTAATCCAAAGAAGGCCATATCAGCCCCGGTCCACGGATCGCCAGCGCATCTGCAAAGCGACACGGTGTACTTTTGCTGCTCGGATCAAGACGGCAACGCCATTTCCTTCATCAACAGCAATTATGGCGGCTTCGGCACAGGCATCATCCCCAAGGGCTGCGGCTTCACTCTGCAGAACCGCGGCGCAAACTTTAGCCTAGACAAGGATCATCCCAATGTCCTGGCGCCGAGGAAGCGACCGTATCATACCATTATCCCCGGTCTGACCACGTTTGTTAACGACGGGAGCTTGCACTCTGTGTACGGTGTCATGGGCGGCTTCATGCAACCGCAGGGTCACGTGCAGGTGCTGCTGAATCAGGAGGTGTTCAAGCTCAACCCGCAGGCTGCGCTCGACTCACCGCGTTTCTGTATTGGAGCCGGCATGCCGAGCGCAGACGGAACTATGACGGACGCGACCATTTACCTGGAAGAGGGCATTGATGCAAAGGTGGTCAAGGAGCTCAAGGCACTGGGGCACAGCGTGGAGCAGCTGAGTGGTTACAAGCGGGGCATGTTTGGCCGAGGCCAGATAATCAGGCGGCATGAGGATGATGGCATGCAGGTTTGGAGCGGAGGCAGCGACATGCGGGGCGACGGCGCGGCGGTGCCGTTGTAAATCTGTGTGTGCGTTGACAGGTGGCTCGTGGAGTTGGGTAACGTCTAGTCATGAATGTAACGTCAGTCACGAACAAGCGGTAACCGTGGTCTCGAAGACTTGAACAAATGGGTATCGTATTTACTCTATATTTCCCTGTGTCGAGTCAGCGCACGTGTCTTTGGTGGCCAATCATTGTCCCAATGGCTTTGTCTTGCCATTCCTTTTCCTCCAACTCCGAACTCCGTTGTCAATCTCCTCGATTGTCACACCGTCTCTGATAAGCTGCATTGTGACGCCCAACACCTCGACATTTTTATTCCGAGCCTCGTCGTCAAAGAAGAGCATGTCTTCATACTCCAGGCCGCTGTCTCTGTGTATGCGCTCAAAATGCGTCGTTTTGTTGCCGGGGTATATTTGCAGGTGGTCAAAGTAGTCGATTGCGCGGGATGAAGAGCCGGATGGGCTGGGTATCTTGAGCAGCTTAAGCATCTCGCGGCCAAGATCTGGGGCGCAGGTGCGAGAGGCAGCGCCGATGAGAATATCCTTGGCTTTGAGCTATATCAGTTTAGTTAGTTGTGCATGTGGATGTGGTCAAATAGGGGATATGGAGCGGTCATACTGCTTCTAGGATACCCCCGACATCACTGTAGAAGCCGAAGCCCTCGCCATATCGGTCCTTTGCTTTTAAGCCGCCTTCGGTAGGCTTAAGCGGGGGGGTAACGTGCGTGTCTACCCAAAAGGGCCAGAGAGTGTAGTCGAGGTCGAAGACGACTATTTTTGGAAGCGGCAAGCCATCTGTGAATGTGGCTGGCCACCGGACCTTTGCTGGAGACGCTGTGGTGGTAGTGGTATCGGAATTGGAGGTGTTGGTTGAGGGGGCGCGGCGGGGCATGGTTGACGTTTGCGAGCGTACACAACAGTGGTAGTGAGGGGTCCTGTTAGTGGGATGACAGCAGAAGGGGACACAAGGGTTGTTAGAGACAGGAAGTGAGACTCGGCCAGATTGGGTGTTTTAGTCTAGGCAAACAGCCGCGTGTGGCGCGTCGGTCGCAAAAAAAAAGATGGGCGATGACGTAGACGCGCTGAATCGGCGTATCTGGGCATCAGGTCAAGTACTCTACTGAACCCGTAAACAGATAAAAGTATCACAGCGCCGAACATGCGCTGTGCGGGAACAGATTTCGCATTTTCCCCGCAAGAGAAAAGGCTCAGAGACGCAGGCTCTGGTCCCAGTAGTCGCCCCATGGAGACCAGCGATATATTGCCGGCGCAGTACATGGGCCTACGGATGCAAGTATGGCGGATGCCGACTAGATAAGGAATAGCCGCGACAAAAAACAAAGGCAGCGGGCGAGGCCTGAAACGACAGGTGATTTCCAGCCAGCATGTAGTTTGCAGCAGAGGATTGGCGGCGACGGGGGCGAGGGCGAGCACATGGCTATATCCAAGTGTACTACCTAGTAAACTCTGTTTGTGGTTGAGGGTACTAGGTAGGCCTCAGCTGAGATGGGGAACAGGTGGTGGGCATGCATCTGGGAAGCTTCCAAGACGCCTGTTGCTGACCACCTGTGCATTGCGTCTTCGTGTACGCCGCACCGCTATTGGGCGCTTGTAATTACAGTGCAGCGATGCTTCATAGGGCACATCCAGGTAGGCATGGCGAGAGCGTCCCAACATGTGCATCCAGATGAACATGGCTGCAGTGGGCCGGCCGTGGCGACATGGTGCAGCACTGGTCTGGCGCACCTTCCCCTTTCAGTCGGCCAGCCACTAATACGTACCAGCCCCGCAAATAACGGGCGCCGGAAGGAATCCCGCCTGACTTGTCGCCGCAGCGTCAACAACCCTTCCAACTACTACACTCTTCTCGCACACACACAAACACACATATTGCCTGCGCACTCATGTCGCCGTGATCCCGCTGTCTCCAGGGCCTCGATGGCGGCAACAGGTGCTCGTTGTACAATCTCCAGTTGCGATCAACAACAGATCGCTTGTCACCCCTCCGCAATCTCCACGCGTGCACCTTCCACCTCTGCCAATTACTACGCAGCGGCCCATTGACCTCCAGCACAACAGCGGGTGACACCTCGCCAATCATCCGCCACCATGGCAGACTTCAATGAGACAAGATCTCCCCTTACAAACGACAATGTCCAGGCCTGGGCCCGCCATCACTTTGCCGCGCCCTTTCGCGCCCTACCGCGTGCTGCCAGGCTGCAATGGATCGAGTTTGACGAGAGCTTTACTATCAGCAGAGCCATCTGGCGCTCCCTCGGCCGCTCTACGCACAAGCAGCTTCTCGTCATTGGCGGCTACGCCCCAGGTCCCGCTGGCGACGACGATGAACCCATTGACCGTGTCACGGCCCACGTCCACGAGGACGAGGCAGAGGTCAGCTTCTATCGCATCACCGAGCTCGAAGACGGCAGCAATGAGCTGTTGTCGGTAAATAGCACCAGCACCGTTGCCTTTCATGCCCCATTTTGTGACGTGGGTGACGATACCGGAGGTTCAAAAGCAATCCATCGCGTATCTGCCCTCATTCTTTACTATTTTTTAGCTGCCGGCCACGTGAAAGAGCTGTCCCGCACACGATCAGACCCTACAATGTTTACCAGGAATTTTCGCGATGCTTGTCTGTGGGTTCAGAATGAAGGCGAGCGTCCATTACTACCACCATCGAGAAAATCAGAACCTTCAACACCCTTCGAAAAAGATCCAATTACTGTCCGACCAAAGCGCTCCTCTACTGTTTCAACAACCCGTCCCGTATCTGACGAATATCAACACCCTCCAGTGAAGCGTGCAGCAACAGACAGCTTAAACATTAAGATTAAACGCGAACGCGACGAAGACTACCCAAACATTCCTCCATCCGCCATCCGCCCAAAAAAGCACCCCCGGCGCACTCTCAGCGAGCAAATCGTTGTCCCTTCGAAGCTCCAGGAATCTACCTCAATGGCATCCTCGGGTTCCATTCTCAGCCCACGCAGTCCCGCTCCGGAGCGCGTCAACCGCGCCCTAACCGACCGAATTAATCACCTCAAAGACGAAAACGCTGGCCTTAAAGCCTCATTAAATGGCCTTGAATCAGAAAAATCCGACCTTCAGCAGCGCATGGCCAGGGAATCCCACACATATCGTAGCATGCAAATTGAATCCGACGCCCTAAAACGCGAAGTAGAGGCTATGAAGCGCGAAATGAACGCCATGAAAGAGCGTCTAGAAGGCGTCGAGTCTTCTGGCGAAAAGATGCGCCTTGAGGTGCAAAGATTAGTGGCGGTAGAGAACGCAAGTAAGGAATTCCGAAAAGAACTAAGAAGCGAAGTAGACGGGTTAAGAGGACGGATCGAGCGAAGCGAAAAAGAAGCCGAAAACGCGAAAGAAGAGCTATTGGCTGTACGGCGGGGGTTAACAAAGGAATTGAGCGAAGCAGTCCAAAAATGGGGCGCGTAAAGAAGAGGAAAAAGAATTCATGACTTGTATACGTTCAAAAATGTATGAGCATAGTCTTATGTTTTTTTTCCTTCTTCTCTCAGCACATCTTTGCTTGCTATCCTTTTCTTTCCTGTCTTTCGATCTTACTCCTGATCTGGTCAGCATAGACGCGGTATCCGCGCTACGATCTCCCCGCCTGTCTATTCCGCCGGGAACTTCCCGGCGGCGCTTTTTCTTTTTCCCTTTTCGTCCACCAATCGGGTTATATATGGTACTCCCATGGTCTCTTTTTATCCTTTTTTTTCATTTATCTCTCTGGGCGTTGTTTTTTCATCATTCTATTCTTGGTATATATGAAGCAAGCGGCATTTCGTCCTCGTCATCATCAGCATCATGATTGGTCAGGTCGGGGGGGGAGAGGACAAGGGCGTGTGTATGCATGCATGTATGTTTGTTGTACGAAGCAAGTATTTAGGTTAATTTTTTTTCTCTTGAAGCCTTGTTTAGCAAGCTACATATGGAGTTGAATGGAAATCATTTTTCAAGTTAAAAATGTGAAGCGGAAACCTGGTTTTTTTTCATGAGTTGTAAGACTGACTTTAGGTCGAATACGTGTGAGTAGAAAAGGCAATCCACCATGGATTGAATATGTCGATATACTTTACACCAAAAGTCTATCTATTGAGCAAAAAGAAACTAAACGAACCCCTTTTTCCATACTAAACCTATAACCCCTCCAACTCCATCTACGTAATCAAACTAAAACCACGGACACATCAATCTACTTCTAATCAACATCTCGACTCCCCTCTCACCCTTACGACTCCACCTTCCGCTGAACCTTGGGCATCTTGACCGCGTACTTTGAACTAGCAAGACTGAGCTTTGCTCGAGTCCTCGCCACACGCCGGGCACCAGTAGCGCTAGTATTGCGCTTAGAGCGGCGCTCTCTATGTTTTGTAGCGACGGGTACGGCGGGAGCATCATCAGTGTCGATGTCAGTGTCAGTGTCCGAACTATCTCCCTGAGAAGATGATGACAAAGAAGAGGAACAAGAGGACGACGACGCAGGGACACTCTTGAGACGCGAGGACTTGGGAAGCGGGGTCTTGCGGGGTACCGAGGGGGAAGCAAGAGGGGAAGAAGAGGAGGTGTCGGAATGAGGGGTGCGTGTCTCGCTTGATTCGGCGGTCGAGGTTTGGGATTGCGAGGGGCTGGGTGGGGAGAGGGGGGTGTCTTCTAGGTCTATGAGATTGGGGGTTTGGAGAAGTACTAGCGGCGTTATAGCAGTGGTAGTAGTACTAGATGATGTAGTTGACGGCTCCACTCGAGTCTGACGTTTGTCAGCGCCACGACCAGCAAGCTTCTGTACCTCGCCGCCGGGTCCATATCGCTCTTCTGATCCACGAGTGCGGAACGTCATAGCATCTGGGAATGATCGTGCCGGAGGCATATTTTCAGCAGGCGGCTCCAGACCCTGACTTCCTGCTCCTCCGCCTACTTTGCGCTGCATCCAAGTTAGTGGCTTGGCAGGAGAGACTGCATTTCTCTCCCTCCACCACCTGGGCGTGCCGCGGGTGAAACCTAGTACGCGGAGCTTTTCGGTCCCAGGCATTTCATGCTTGTATTTGCACCCTGTGTGCATCCATCTGCATTCGCCGGTTGCGATCCAGTGTGTACAGTATACTTTTTTCGAGGGTTCTGGGCCGGGGTTAGAGTTGTTGTACCCAGACCGCTGCGCTTCCCTATGGTACACCGAAGCCACAGCGTCGGCTAGTGACGAATGGCGTTCGACCCCGGTGGTCGACGGCGTGCCGGGGCATTCGTATGCACCAGCTGCCGGCGACTGCGGCGACAACCGGCCTGGGCGACCAAGAGCTGTGTTTGTGCTCTGTGATTCAGTCCGGACGTTGTGGTCGGGTGCGAGATATGGAGGTTTCCCGTCTGGAGAGTAGTGCGAGGGCCTATCGTTGGGAATGGGTGCTTGGACTGAAAGCATAGAGGGCGCGTCTTTTGTCTCCTTGAATAGTTTCCAGCCCTGGTCTGACATTTGACGATGCGTAAGTTGCCGCGGAATTCCTTTAAGTTGGAATGGTAACTGATCGGCTGGTATGAGGGGAACCATGATATTTCCGCGGAGAAGATAGCAACGGAGATCTTCTGGTAACGAGCAGATATTCTGGTTTTGAGTGGCCATGGTGGAAACGATACGTGCTATACTGGTAAGTAAAGATTGTGAATATGATGACTGGATAGAAAATGAAAGGTAGAGTGTAGAAAGCAGACGGCCGCTTTATTTGTCATTGGACGACTGTGCTTGAGACAGCAAGCAGAAACAATGGACAAGCCAGCAAACGGCTTGCCATCAAGGTGCAAGCACCCGGCAAGCTGTTGCTCGTGGCCGCTATCTGCACCACCGCGTGTTTCCATCTTGCTTGGGGTTCATGTGTGCTCAGAGACCAAGATCCGGTAGTGGCAAGCAAAAAGAGGGCAGGACAAGCAGAGAGCAGCTGTGCGAAGCCGACATGTGCCCGCAGCTCTCACCAGTGTTGGTGACATCAATTGTGTTCACATGACCCGAGGTGCGACAAGCTCCGAGACCTGCTAGCAAGACGTTCGACAGGAGGCTTGGGAGAGGCTGCTAGTTATTCTGCTGGGTTCGTAAAGTCAGGATTAGATTTCGGAGATTAGTCCAGCCAGCTGGAAGTACGGTACGTAAAGTTTGCGTTGCAGCTGACTAGTAGCCATCCGTAGGAACCCGGCCTGCATTGGCACCGGCATTCACGACTACCGGAACGCTAAATTGCTTGACAACGCCACTCACGCGGCACGGAGCCTCCAAACATGGCTGATGCTTCGTGGCTGCGGCGGCATGTCGCCCTGTTCAGGGCTGTGACGAGCAGCCCACATCTTCGCGTGTCATCCCTGTGCAGATTGATTGGCGCCATGCTCAAATGTGCCGCAACAGACTAACCCTTATGTACCCCAACACCAAGCTTGGTCTGGCTGCGCTATCACCTCGGAAATTCAATATTTGACATGTTCCGTACTCGCTCCGGAGCGTCTCATTGTACCAAGACCGCCTTGCTGCTGTGGTACCTCTTCCTAGCCTGTTTCACGTACCCCACGGTCAACATTCCGACCGTGTGGATAGGAAAGGGTTACTATACAAAGTTACCTCTTGTGAAACAGTGACCTTTCGGCAGTCGTTTTCTGGCACCTTGCGTCAACGCCTAATCCCTGTACCCCACGTCTGTATACGTATGCGCCTCTTTAATATGAGCTGTTTATCATCGCCCATCTACCTGTGTATACGGTTAATGAGGCGCTGATCAGAGTCACTATAATGACTCGGGAAACAAGTATTGCTCAGTCCATGCCGCCCGCGAGTCAGTAATGAACAAGATCTCCGTTACTAGGCCCCCGAGGTCCACAGCGCCTCTGCGATCCTAGTCCAAGCAATGTACCGCTTGGCTGGGTCATGCGGTAAAGAAACCGAGGCCTTAGTGTCTGGCTAATAACCCTGCTACTCGTCCTCATGTCCCCATCTTGTACCCTCAGAATCCTCTTGGAAAAGAAAACACTTCCTTCTAACATGGACCTCTTCTAGCGAATCATGAGACGACGCGTGATCCACAAAGCTCGACAACTAACGATACTAATTGAACAAAGAGCTACACCACCATGACGTCGGATAATCGGAGGCAAGAGGTCCTCGCTGTAGCAACCCTTTTCTTCGTGTTGACATGGGTCACCGTCTGCTTGCGATTCTATGTACGCCTATGCCTGAGAACAACATGGGGAAAAGATGACTCGTACATGGTTGCGACACAAGTACGTACACTGCTCGCCTAATAAAGCTGCGATACTAATCGAACTCTCCAGGTCGTATTTACCATTTACCTCTGCTTCCAGATCGCTGCAGCGGTACATGGAACTGGTCAGCATAGATGGCATCTAAGCGATGAGGATGCAAAGACCGCACTACTAGTCAGTCCTTTGCTTACCGTCTCAACCCCACCTACTGACTCAAGATAGTTTTGGTACCTGTGTGAAGTCATGTACGTCGTGACCAACTGTCTTCTCAAGTTTTCCATTGGATACTTCTATCTCCGAGTCGCAGTCAGCCGAAATCACATCTGGTGTATAAGGATACTGATGGGAGGTACTGTCCTGTGCTGCTTGATTTACCTGTTCTTGGTCATGCTCCAGTGTTCTCCTGGTAAGCTCTGATTCAGAGGTTTTCCTGGATCTTTGTTGATAATCTTTAGTCTCGGCATTCTGGGAGATACATCCTGCTTCAAGCAAATGTATATCAAAAGGCCCAACCCTAGGCATCAGTTATGCTCTCGCCGCCATCAACGCCGTGGCCGATTGGATATTGGGATTGCTTCCTTTTTGGATGGTCTGGGGCCTGAACATGAAGACGAAGACCAAGATTTTGGTTGCGTGTATCCTTGCGTTTGCTGCTATGTAAGTTGTCCGTACCGTCAGCTTACAAAGTGCTAATCAGCGGTTAGTGGGAGTACAGGTACCGTTGTCCGCATGGGATACATACACACACTTTATGACGGCCCTGATTTTCTCTGTATGCGTTTCCGTTCTCCATCATATACAACAATGGCCTTCCATTTGCTAACGGCGTTTTCCAGATGCCACGACCGATGTCGCCATATGGAGCACAGTGGAGCCCGGTATAGGAATTGTTGCAAGCAGCATCGCAACCTACCGACCACTAGTACACCACATATTGCAACTTCTCGGCTTCGCAGACGCACCCTATGAGCAAAGCACATCCTTCGAATACACCAGTAAAGGCCGCAATTACCGCCGCAGCCTGAGCGTATCGGATCTCGTGCCTACAGAAATGGGAATCATGACTTCGCATGTTACAGGGCCTGCTCCAGCGGGCTGGGGCGGTGCCCCACGGACTCCGAAAATTGACATTGAAGACGACATAATGACCCATACTACGCCAGACGGCCAGATCTTACAGACGGTGTCAGTACACCAGGAATCCGAAGGACCCCCGAAACTCGAGCTGCGGGCCAGCTTCCATAACAACCTTTCCAGAGGCGGTGTTTTTAGTCTTGGAAGATTTCGAATACCTGAGTGAAATATCCGTATTTAATTTTACTTACGAACATGCCTAATTTCGATGTTTTTTCTTTGTGAACATAACTCTAACGATGGGGACTTTGTCACATGGCGTTCATACGTTGTTAGTGTTATGATCAAGCTTAATTCTCATGTATCGCACGCCCTTCGTATCGAACCAAAGCCCATAACTACCACAAGCCATCTCTACCAAGCCACCAAATACTCCGACTCCCGAAACCCACGCTCCCTACCCCCCCCCC